TTTTATCTAACAGTGTAGTCTGTGTGCATACTATCAGTTATCGTGCTCTATGAGAGGAACCACAAGCTGAGTAAGGAGCTTCGAGAGCTACGAGCGTCCAGACATGAGTGGGAGGTGGGTAGTGTCCTGTATGGGGATATATGCTATATGTGTTGGTGACAATGAAGTAACTCCACGAGCGTTCTGAGGAGGACTTGTTGTACACTCGTCCAATACATATTCTAGTGCTGGTCCCACTACTAGTACTACTGTGAACGTGCGAATTTGAAAGTTGATTCATTGTTAGGATCAACGGGATAAGTATATTGACAGACTCGCGAGAGTTAAGGAGTGGGTGAAGTTGACTAAAGTTAAAGTAAGCACCTATGTGGTCGTGGTAGTGTAGTAGTTGTGGACAGCACAAGATGGAGAAGGCGGCTCTCATGAGGGCACATGAGGAGGAGCTAGTTATGGCACTTAGTCGTCAGATGGAATCTCATAAACACGATAAAGGCTTCGATGATGATGACCACAGGTTATCAAGTGTTGTCTTGTAGGGTAGTCCATCGTCCTGTTCAGTGCGTCATCTGCAATGCAGCACAGGCAAGGGCAAAAAGCGTCAGAGGGGGCAGTGGTCTCGCATGTGGTCAGTGCTGCACTATTATGCATAACTTGATGTCGATAATGCAGGTTAGCAGAGGGGAAGAGGGTGGCGGCCCCTTGGATTCCTCCCGAGTATGTCAGTCGCGTCCTCTGGGGTGGTATGATAAGGCATCCCGTTCAGAGTATGGAGTCCCCTACTCGTCCCTCACCGGTCAGCTGGACGATATCTGTCACCGATCTCACACCTCGCAAGATCAACAACAGCCCTCGACAGCTCACCAATAGAGATCCTCGAAAATCTAGCGACAACCATCAACATGTTAAGAAGGCTCCTCGACGATCCAGCAACGCCCCTCGAGTGACCAGCAGCACCCCTCGAGTGACCAGCAACACCCCTCCAGTGGCCAACAATACCCCTCGAGTGACCAACAACACCCCTCGAGAGACTAGCAATACCCCTCGAGGGACCAGCAATACCCCTCGAGGGACCAGCAATACCCCTCGAGGGACCAGCAATACCCCTCGAGTGACCAGCAACACCCCTCGAGAGACTAGCAATACCCCTCGAGGGACCAGCAATACCCCTCGAGGGACCAGCAACACCCCTCGAGGGACCAGCAATACCCCTCGAGGGACCAGCAACACCCCTCGAGAGACTAGCAATACCCCTCGAGGGACCAGCAATACCCCTCGAGAGACTAGCAATACCCCTCGAGGGACCAGCAATACCCCTCGAGGGACCAGTAATACCCCTCGAGGGACCAGTGACAGACCAGAAGATTCGATCACATCGAAGATAGTCCCTACAAACTACCAAGACTGCAAGGGAGCCTCGAAGAAGAAAGGCTTCAACACAGCGCTCGAGGCCGTCATGTCGTTGGTGGAAAAGCATAATAATGAAGCCAAGAATATGATGGCATCAGCTGGAGTCGCCGAAATCTTTCACAGTGCTGTTGATAATAAGGAGGGAGACGAGCCGAGCAAAGGCATCAGCTCAGAGGAGCAGCAGCCCCAGACGGTTATACCCGATGTGGTTGCCTCTGAAGACAGCTTCGTGTCACCGGATGAGGGGGAGGTGGATACAGTAACTGTTACACCTCCCATAGTGGTATCGGCTAGCAATGTGGTGAATAAGGCAAAGCCCAAGACCGTCCTGGACATGCCTGTAGGAGGCCACACTTAATAACTATGCTATTACTCCCTCTCAGGTAGTGGTAGAACGGAGTAGATCGTACTCAGTATCGGTACCATACGTAGGAAGGAGGTCGTCTCTTCAGTTGGGCCTCCCACAGGTAGTATTATAAAAGATATCTTCGTACATGAGGACGTCTGTAGCCACCATCGGCGTATTGGGTGCCAAACGCTGGTACTATGTTTACTACTGCAGCAAAAGGGGATAGTGGACCGCTCACTGTGCGGACTACGATGTCGAGTACACCGGTATCACATTCTTTGGCTGCATGGGCTCTTCATAGTATGGTAACAGGTAGAGATCCCAAAGGGTATGTCGAGGCGGTCTTTCGCCGGGCCGCCTGAGATAAGGCAGTCCAGGGCTTCATCCCTCGTCTCGAGCGTACTTGATGGTATTGTATTTGAGATGCCACGTCATGTGCAACTTCAGGCCTCGACAGGTTACGTTGGTATACAACCCCGAATCGTAAGTGAACGTGGTGGCATCTGACTGCTTGGTGGTGGTGGTTGTGAGTAGAGCTTCTCTTCAGGGCACTGCTTCCCTCCCCTTCCCGTTACTACCTCTTAACTCGGATAGACGACATTCTATGATAGTAGGCTGCGGGGATGTTAATCCCCGGGACTGTATTCAGGTCCAGGGGTCTCCACCTATTGGGCAGATGCATCCATCACTGTGACAACGACGACGACGCCCCCTGTGGGTCAATCACTCTTCATGAGCCTTCCAATGGAAGATATGCATGGTGAGTATAAACACGTTGAGCATGCATGTACATGAACGGTTCTCGAGATGTCCCACTGACTTGTGTCGCGTAAATGTTGGGTGAACCGCGGAGGTCACTGACTTGTGGGCGAAAAGAGTCCAAACAAGTACTATACTGTTATCGTTGGCATCCTCTCAATATTGGGTATCTCGTGAGTAGCTGTGCTGCTGCCCATGAACTTTAAGACTTCCGCTGAGGGCCTCTCTGTGATATGGCGATGATACTGCTTTTATGGACAGCAGCTCCCAGGAGATGTATATACCGAGGCTGAAAGCAGCTCATTTGATATCTGCGCATGGTCCGAGGGTAAGCGAGGCTGATAATGCGTCCTCTCTTAGCAGCATGTCGCAGCAAGATTCGTAGTATTAATGCAGTGTATTAATTATCGTTCGCTATCTACTCGCCCGTCCATTGACTCATAATTCAATCCCGAGCAGCCACAGCAGCAGCAGCAGCAGCCGTGGAGCTCTAATGTATATAGTTCGCCAGAGCCTAGGAGGAGGAAGAGGAATAACGTAGTCCTTTGGTGAAGGAGAGAGGTATTATGAGTAAAAATGTCCCTAAGGAGTCCTTAGGGATATTTTTACTCCACCTAGTAATCCTTAGTAAGGACTATGAGTATGATCTGACATGGGCATGACAATAGCCATCTACCTATGTATGATAGGGAGTCGCAGTAGTAGCTTGTAACAGGGACAGTTGGCAGAGGAGGTCCTGTTCCGTACTACGGCCGGGAAACGACTCGGTGTTCATCATCTCGCATCCTCTCCATAGTCGTACCGTACCTTTACAACATCATGTTTATGCATTGATAAAGGGTTGTGTTCACAGATGTATGCATATGGTTCGTAGGAGTAAGGCTAGTAAGATATTTCTGGGAACGATGCAATCACGATCGCGTCAACAAGAGGTCATACCAAGATCGTCAAGGTCATCACGATCAGGTGAGTGTCTTGGTATTATCCATAATCATCAGCCCTTCACATTTTATCGGTATATGCTATCCCGCCTTTCTGCCCTTTTCTCCTCGCAAGGTAGACTGTGGCCCCTCGCCCATAGGGGTCGCCGCTATCGACTGGTCATCCACTGCCTGCTCCTTCTTAGGGAGCGGTAGAGGGAGTGGACGGGCTGGCTCATCCGAGTCAAGTGAACCAATGACCCCACCAGAGACCGTCCCCAGCCCCCTTAGGGCTCCACCACCACCACCTCGTAGGATGACTGGTCGATCATCATCAGGAGGTAGGCCTCTGCTACAAGGGTACATGCAAATCCTCTTACTGGATATATGCTGCCTGTCTAATGCTTCACTTATCAGGTGGGCGGATGGGCAGTACCCCAGGGATGAGTGGGCGTCTTGCGGCCAAGTACGACTGATAGTAGCAGTTTACTACCTACCTTGCCGCCCCTTAGGACCTCCCCAGCGGCGGCCCCATCATCGGCATCTAGCTCCCCAATGAGCCCACCGATATCGGTACCTACCCCGAAGAGGGCACCAGCACCGCCACCTGGCAGGGGGCGATCTCCGCCAAGCGGTTTTCGTGGGAGTAGGGCCAATTAGGGGTTGAACGCCGTTTCGGTTGACGGCGGTCATTATAGGTCCTATGAGGGGAGCTTTACAGATGAGGGGGACGCCTCCAACAGCGCGGAGGATAAGTCCTAAGCGGTAGTGGGGGGGGGGGGGGGTGGCAGGCTGGTGATAGTAAATCTAGAATGCTGTTGGGCATATAGGGCACCGAGGCAGCAACAGCCGCCACCTCCGAGGAGGAAGAGGAGTACATCAGGGAAAAGGGTAGGACGTGGTGGTGGTGGTGTGTCAGAAGGAGGCGGCAAGAAACGGAGGTAGGCATGAGGTTATGGGGCTCTCCGTAGAATGGTAACCCGAGGTTCCGCCCTGGCACGAAAGCCCTTAAGGAGATTCGTCAATTCCAAGTAATATGAGATGACCATGCTGGGGTGGTCATCATTGTCTATACGGTTATTGCATTTACCTCTTTTATCATCTATACGTATATATATCACCACTGTGTACTCAGCGTACTACCGAGCTCCTGGTCCCGAAGGCCCCCTTCGCCAGAGTTGTTCGTGAAATACAGTTACTATTTGCAGGAGAGGAATGGAGGTAGTACCTATCTTGGTAGTATGCCCTATCCTGTATGCTACCCCTGTGCCAGGTGGTCCCGTGAGGCCCTTATAGCATTACAAACAGCAGCTGAGGCTTACCTTGTAATGAGGAGTCGTCCTATCATGGCTTAGATGGTGGCCTGTTGGTAGGTGGGACTATTCGAGGATGCAATGTTGGTAGCGATCCATGCCAAACGGGTTACATTGATGGCTAAGGTGATGATGATGTTGGAGTACTAGTGCCTAGCGATATTATTATTACTATTCCTCGCAGGATATCCGTCTCGTCCGTCGTATTAGAGGAGACGTCTTTGTGTAGATGAATTAATACACCACGACTGCAATAGTGCATGATGATATCATTATACTCTGGCCAGCCGCCGCCGCCGCACCACTAATACTATTATCACAATGTTTCCCTCTTCCATCTACGGCATGCCAATAGTCATTTGCTGTTGTGTTGTTATATTCAACCCGTATCCCGATGAGTGTACATCAGACGTCAGCATACTTGCATCCTTACCTAGTCTCGGACCCTTTATCCCCCGTCTTATTGCTACTACTAGCCAAGGATGCCACAACCAATAAGAGTGGTTTTATACGCTTGTAGTAACCACTCTAGCAGATATGATGTATGCCGACGTTATGGTAGATTTGAGGCCTTAGGCTGAGGCTCTTATCCGCTGAAAGTGATCTCCTTATTCACTCAGTCAATTGGTGACCGTAAGCGTGGAGTAGATTCCTATAAGATATAGAGGTCGTATGAGTAGCCACCTCGGCTGGTAGTCGTCGATGGTGAGAGAGTAAGGCTGCTGGTGGTACGTATTACAGAAATCTCTCCATGCATAGCTGCTGTATTACAGCATGCTTGAAGGACTAGAGTTGTTACGTTCTTCAGGATAAACGTGTGAAGGACTCGTCCGTTAACCTCCCAACAGGCCGTCCGGCCCTCTACAAGGCAGTGCCGTGTATACGCCTGTCTGTGTGCTGTCCTTGATGGATGAACTACGCTGACCTTCGATAAAGACCCTGATGAGCTTGCCGTCACTTTTTGTTCCTCCACACATCAGTTCTCACTACATAATAGGGGATATCGAGTTATAATGGGGAATTCGGGGGTTTCCATAGTTGATTTATTCGATGGATTTCATCGATTCCTTACATGCAGAAGTAGACGATATATCAGGAAGTCTTCCACACTCTGATGATCAGTGGGAGCACACCGGGTTCATGGACATTCTATGTGGTATGCCCGTGCAAGCTCCGCCACCTCAATCACCCTTAGTCTCTCCTTCCTCGCATAATGAGTTGCATAGAGTCTCGGCCAGCCAGGATGATACTTTCCTCGAAGTTT